GAATGCTGAGGTGTGTGTAGAGGTGCGTATAGGAGTAAGGTGGGCTTGAGGACAGGAGGTTGCACGTGCAGGTGAAGGTTGAAGGGGAGAGGAGGCGGGCGGAGGATGGGAATTTACAGGTCGGGACAGTGGGAGACGGAAGGGGCAAACCAGCTGCTCGGCAGTGCTTTAGTGGAACACGCATCTCAACACAGCTGTGTTATTTTTGTGCTGCTTTACCACAGCATTAAGTAGTCAGAGTGTATCCCTGAATTGGGCAATGAAAGTTAAAATAAACAATTATTAAAGAACCAACATGCTTTGTATTTGCAAATCATTTGAAAAACTGCAAGGTAGCATTCTTTGGGCCACTTGCTTGTTGTTTGCGCATGAGTTTTTCCAATGTAATAAAGGTACATTGTTTCTGTTTTGCAATGTTAAGAGGAATTAAGGTTAAGAATGCGTTCAGTTATTGAGGACAAAATATATGAAAGGTATGGTGTAAATATCCCCGAGCTAAGTATTACAAACCCAGGAAACACCCAGAATTAAGGTCAGATTTGAAAGAAATCCGAACAAATTAGGGTATGGAAATGCACAGCTGTAGCCTATAGTGACACCAAAGAAAAATCAGAACTTGTCTTGTCTGTGACAACATGTGGTCACAGACATTTGGTCATTTTATCAGGTCACTAAGGGGCAGAGCTGAAATAATTTGTGCACCTTGTTAGCACATTCCAATACCTTTTTTCCCTTAGCAAAGTTTGGCTTTGAAACAAATGCAACATTTCTGTGAAATTTCTTAAATTTTGGGAGGAACTTGAACGCTTACTTTTTGCAGATTTGATTTTTTCTATTTCAGAGGCTGGGCTGTTAGAGATTTAATGCTACTCTTTGGCCTATATGTGGGTCAGCAACATCCATGTATCTCACCAACATCCCTATCAGACTGATTCAAGAGATTGACAAGATAACAAGTGTAGATTATAAAACATAAAGGAAGCACTGTACAAGTGTTTAGCTAATTGGTACATTGTAAAGTAAGCTCTGGCTGTACAGGTAAGATGATTTTGAAAAGGATGAAAGCCAAGCAGATACGTGGGCTTTGTAATTCCTACCATACAGCCTTTTCATCTGAGGAGTTTAATTGCAGAGAAATCAAACCCTTGTTCTAGGCCACAGTGGAAATTCGTGCTGTCAGAACTGGGATTAGAGGTTAGTTATTCCAGATTTTTTTTTTTTAATCTTTTGTGTGTGATTTTCACTGGGCTGTGCTGCGCCTCTCTCGTTAACTGAAAAAAAAAGATTGATGTCAGTGGAAAAATGTGTACATTACAATTTTCCATTATTTTCACATTTTCTAAAATCCCTTAACTCATTTAAGTTCTCTGATTTTTGAGCCAGCGTAAGCTGTGAATGCATACATATGCACATACTTACTGATGTAAATAGCTGCTTAATTTATTGTCCTGGCTGCGTCCTCCAAAATCACTAAAGAAACAGGCCCTGCCTGAGCAGATTGCTTTTATGGTCCTCCTAATGAAATACGAGTCTTGTTCAGCTCAGATGCCAACCCTTGAAACACATTTTTCCCCAAAGAGCTATGAAGTTCCTTCGTTTGCTGCCGTGGGATCTTCTTGCTGATGGAAATGCCATCGCTGGGGATTGCAAACCGGGGAGAATGCTCCTGCGGAGCACCTCCCGCCAGGTCCCGCGTGGCAGGGTCAGCGCTGCCTGCTCCTCCTCCTTATTCACGCCCTGAGCTTGTTTTTTCAAAGACTTTTTTTCCCCTCTTCCTTGTCCTTTTCCCTAACTTGCAGGAGGAGGCAGCTGGCCTGGAGCCATGTGAGGAATAATTAAGGTTACGTTTATCCATTCTTTCAAGAAAAAACCCAATATATCCTGGAGTCCTCTCCTCTAGGATGCTTTTCTCCAAATACCCCCCCCGCCAAGGCAGGCCGTGATGCTGATTGCTCTGGAGTCCTTGCCTGAGGTTCATTCTCCTTTTTTCGTTTAAATAAATTTATACTCTTCCTCATTAATGCTGTCAATCTCTTTGCCCTCAAGAAATAGGTTTGTACTCCATCTGTGTAGACAGAGCACTCG